GGCAGCGCCGGGCCCTTGGAGGGGGGCCAGACACCTTTCTCCGGGGACGCGGGGGGACCGGCGACGACCGGTTCCCTCGGATCTCCACCTCCATGGGTCCACGCCAGTTGGCGGGTCGAGATGGGCGTGCGCGCGCGGCCGGTCGTCCACTCTTCCGGCGCGCGCKCGTCGCCGCCTGGTGACGAAGAGCGGTCGCMAGTTGGCCGGGGCACATGGCMGCGTGGGAGGCGCGCGGTCGGCCCGCCAAAGTGGGCCGCCCCCGGAACGACTTTCGGACCCACTTTCAATCTATTAAGCTCAGACCTGCATTGCCATCGTCCTTCGTCGCACATTGCAGATCCTAGGGCTCCGGGCAGGTTGGTATTTCTCGCGGGAGCTGAGAGAAGAAGCCGTTGGTAAAAACACGGCATTTCATCGTTATGCCGATGCCGTTGTGTGATTGGAAATTTGGAATGCTAATGGAGGAAGATGTAACATTATATAGAAGTAAAGCCTTCACTATATCTTGTGTGTACAATACATGGCGGAGAGCAGCCTAATGTATACACGACCACCTGTGATCATATTTGCCTTTGCGCGCCATCAACCAATCAGTGTATTTGGTTGACCCACTTCAACATGTTGCCTGCGTCGCTATAGATGTCATTGACCTCATCAAGGACCTTACGGCGACGCTTCCGAGGCACCATATTAGTCATTGACGGCTGCATGGCCGTTTGCGAATCACACGGAATGAACGACTGTTGGTGAGAATTATAGTATGGTCAATCTTTAATCTTATCAATAGATTGACCTGCTATGGTTGATCATTGATCATATCCATGGCTCTTGCGGCCATGGATTATCATTGATAATCACTGATTTCAACCATTAGCAAATAGTGATCTAATCTATGAGATCACCTAGCTATGAGATCATTCAATATTTGAATGACTTATACTAGAAAGAATCACCTATAAATACACCCTTAAATTACTCTCTAGCTAGTTGGTCTATAATCAGGAATTAAGACATTAAGCTAAGGTGTCCTTAGTTATTTTCCCTATACTATTCTATTCTATTTAACTATCCTTCCTATTCTTCCTTTATACCTAGGCAAGCCATCTATTCCTCTTTGCATTTGTGAAATTTCCTTTGTTATTTTATACTGTTTATTTTCATTCACAACGACATTGCCTTGGCATGGACACAAGGACACTCTTTCCCACCGAGGAGGAACGCACCAATCAGATCGCCGGACACCTGAATGACACGCCCTGGATTAAGGACTGGGAAACTCTTCACACAGCCCATTGGGCTGACGGCAACCGCCACCTGGAAGGTGGTGACCGTGGTGTATTCATCGGCTCCGCCCTTCATTGGAGTGCCATCACCCTGTGGATTGCTACCATGGTTATATACTGTCAGCTGCATATGCAGCATGCGATAACCACCAACAGCTGGCTGTTCACGGATGACCGACGCAACAAACGAGAGAGATGGGTGCACCATCGGTGGCATGTGGTCTTCGCAGACATTAGAGTCCGGGTCGCCAGGCATCCTATCATACGATGATAAATCAGCACCCATGTGATATATCTTCAAGGAAGGGATATTACGGGATCAGATGCTCTGCGCGAACAGTCAAGACAGGGTGTCCATGGTCCATCATCTTCACAGAGAGACCTCCCTGGCAGAACGTGACTGCACCGCTCAGGAATGACAGGCGAAATTGATTATCGTACTCAACGACAACCGGAATCCCATCTGAATCAACGATGAGGCCAGGCAATGGCTCCCTGGGGCCGTGAGCAGAAGCCTGCAAAGACAGCAACTTCGTCGTGGCGTCCCTAGGCGCAGCGTCAACGGCAAGGAGGCCACCGAAGAAGCAGTGTGTAGTTAGGGCTTGATATAATGACAGTTTAGAGCAGAAAGAATATCCTAGCAGAGATATCCTGGCAGAGAGACAACTGAAGATGAGTATGACTGAGAAAGGGGATGGCATATATGTGTTTTTTTTCTCGGAGGAGAATATGCCCGATATGGCAGAATAGCACATGTGGGTTATCTCCGGGGCCACCGTCCGTGGGGTTGTCCGCCTGATTGATGATCGTGAGATAGTGGTTCAGCCCGATCCTCCCGGTACGCATCTGTACCAGAACGCTGCGTTCCACGGAGGTGAGGTTATCGTAGATAGTGATCGAATGTTTGGTGACCCCGGGGAGGAAGCGCTGGAGGTGTCTGCCATGCTCAGACCGCCGCCAGGCCTCTTCCCACTGTTCCTTGGTGTGATGCTTAATCCAGGCGTCTAGGGGCCCGCGTGTAAGGTGATCTGGCAGCATGACCGGCGCCAGCCTGCCGCTTCCTTCGCCTGGCGGTCCGCGAGCTCATTGCCAGTGACTGCAGGTTGAAAGTGTTCCGGGCAGTAGTCAAGCCGGACACACTGATTGTAAAGGCCGACCAGGCTCGGGACCAACACATAGCTGACGGCCTGCCACACCCAGTTGATGATGCCGTCTGGGCCGGGGGCCTTGTCGGCCTTGACAGAGCGGAGGATGCGGAGAACCTCATGCTCCCTGAATTCCAGCACGCTGATTGGTTCGAGGTACTGGAACCCCCAGAGGTCATCCAGATTAGCCTGCGGGGGCGGCGGAAAGAACTGGCGGGCCAGGAGGTTAGCTTTCTCCTGGGGCCCCTGGACCGGCACCGCAACAGAGTAAGGAATCAATCAATATCAATCAATCAAGGTCTTAGGGTAGGTTTATAAGTTTCAAGTGCTTGTCAATGTTACCTCTCTGAGGCTTTGCTGGACTGCATGCCCTTAATTATACTCTGTATTTCTCCATTGATTGACAGGAACTAATCAGACCGTTCAAACATTGACTAGCCGGTTGAGAACTTAAGACGCAGAGATTCCGTGTAATTGTAATCCTCAACACCTGTAATTGGGGTGCCGCCGTGCCAGTGTGATGTGTTCTGCATTCTCAAAGGCAAATCTGTCCCACGGTTTCGCCCTTAACACTTCCGCCTTAAGGGGCCTCGGCCTTGCAATGGCATGACGGATCTTATCCCACACGGATATCAGGTCATTACAACAGAGTGGAAGGGCTGCAATAGGGTCCGGAGTTATCTGTTAGACAAACTGGCTGCGTCTCGAAAAGCCCCAGACAGACTGCAGGTCCCCCCTGTCGACCTGACTGGTGTGCTTCGTTACTTTGTCTTTGTCCTAATCAAGTTCCCATTGAGTTGATGGCTGCGGAACTTCGCCAGACGTGACCTAACTGACTGCTTCGGCTGGCCCTGTCATTCCCTTGTTTGCTTCGTGTTGAAAAGTCGCGGCTCAGATTGACAGGCGAATGCACTGCATAGCTTCCAAGTCAATGCTTTTGTTCTTACTGCAGGCTGCTTTAGTTGTGTTTTCTGCTTTCTATGTGGCTATATGCCAATTTCTTATGTCTTTTCTGCATGTGTGGGATTTTACTAGGCTTCAGGTGTTCGGATACTAGATCCTGCTTCATTGGCGAAGCGCCTGCATAGCTAATCGCTTCAATAGATAGGCTACATCAGGCTAATAGAATCTTGATTGATTGATTGATTGATTGTCATTTGCGTACACGGAGTCGTGGTCGACCTTTGGCTGTTGCGCTGCATCCTAACATGGTAGGGACGGATTCAACCCACGCTTGGGTGTGTCGAGACGTGTGGAACCAGACGAGGTAGCTTGATAGCTCACAGATTATCACCGAATGTTGCCTGGTAAGCAGGATGGACGGGGACGATATTAGGACAGGAAGGGAAATGATGTTCTGCCTTGGACGAAATTGAATGATCGAAAGTCTGTTGATGTGTTGTACAAGTATTATACAAGGATCATGGTTGCTGATTCGAGGGCTACGCCGTCATCTATTATCTTCCTGTGCTCTTTGAAAAGTCCCTGGGTCAGACCCCTTTCATGTCCATGATCCTCGGTGGCGTCAACATGGTTGTTTATTCGATTTTTGCGACCATGTCCTGGTTCCTCATCGAACGTGTAGGACGTCGCAAGCTGTTCCTCGTCGGATCATTTAGGCAAAGCTTGTCGATGGTTATCGCATTTGCTTGCTTGATACCCGACAACGAGCAGGAGGCCAAGGGTGCCGCCGTCGGCCTGTTCACCTTCATTGCGTAAGTGTGATCCTTGCCGTCCCAGTGAAGCGGACTCACAATTAACATCCGCAGAACATTTGGTGCCACATGGCTCCCCCTTCCTTGGTTGTATCCCGCCGAGATTTCCCCAATCAAGACCCGCGCCAAGGCCAGCGCCATCTCAACTTGTACGAACTGGCTCTTCAACTTCCTGATTGTCATGGTCACCCCATCATGATCCGGGATATCGGGTGGGGTACTTACCTCTTCTTCGCTGTGATAAACGCCCTATTCATTCCAGTGATCTACCTCTTCTATCCGGAAACGGCAGGACGTTCTTTGGAAGAAATCGACCTGATCTTCGCAAAGGGATATCTCGAGAACATGGGCTACGTGCGTGCCGCCAAGGAGCTTCCACGCTTGTCCGACGAAGAGATCGAGCGGGTGGCAATCCAGTACGGATTCGGTTCGGCAGATCAGGAAGCGAAGCATGTGGTGGGCGACAGCGACAGCACCGAATCCAATGTGGTAAGAACCGGTGATGTGGAGAAGAATTAGGATGGTGATATATTGATTTTTATCCGCTTTTTCGATATCCTTTTGTTTGTGACTTCGTCGTTCGGATGGATCTTGCATGGTTGGTGTTGCACATAGTGGTACATGTCGAGATAAACTTGGATGGATATATTCGCTTGACTGCTGTAGACGATGTAACCAAGTGAAGAAGTAACGATTTTGATTTCTTCTTGATTTGGTTCTCCATCTGCCTTGGACTACAACTTAGGTGCGTGCTTGGATCAGTTCCTTCTACAACCCTGATGCAAAGGAAGTGATCCCCAGCAGTTGCACAAAGGTGGAGAAAGGGTTTCGAAAGGTGCGGGAATACCAAATTTGGATTACCAGAACGATAAGATTTCAAAGCGATTACTTGTCTTCGCTTTCCGTGTCATTTATTGATTGTAACTTTTAAAGCCCCGAGAACCCGCGTAACCGCCTTCCTGAACTGAATTGAATGATCGACAAGGTGACTGATGCATAAGCAACGGCCGGGTGACTGTTGGCGACTACGAGAGTTTCAGTAAGGGTTATTGCTCGGCCTTCTCCATCGGCACTTCAACGGCGGCTCCAATGTTCTCTGTCGAGTAGACTGGAAACCCTTCAACAAATCGGTGAAGCGTCGGGTGGTGCAACGTCTCTCCAGAAACAACGATGCAGCCTGCATAACCGTTTAGGCCAGATATCAGCTTAATAAAGTACCATTGCGAGCTTCAGTCATCGCTACAGAGTAGCGAACTGATGGTTGCGCCGCAAGTAACGACATGTTTCCGGGCCAATGACGATTGAAACGATCAGCATTAGAAATTCCGCAAATGAATGTAGGAAGGGCACAGCCCGAGTGGCTGGAGGCTAAGGAACCGTGATGAGCATTTGGTAATTGGTCTGTCGCTCCCGACAGTGACACCCGAGACTGACTTTCCGTATTTGGACCCGGACTTGGCCTACTCAAGTGGCGATTGAGACCGTCTCTGCGCCAAGCCTGCCAAGCCTGCCGAGTCCGCGGTGAGGGTCTGAGCTCTGAACACAGTAACACACCCGTCTCTCGAACAGTCTCCACTCCCACGGCCGTGGCAAGCGCTCTCAAAGACAGAAGTGCATGTCAAGCCACATTGCTTCTATTTATTTGATAATGTTGACTGTGACTTAAGACCCCACGGATACAGGTTTTCTGTGTCTGAGCAACGACACTCATTGGGGGTGCCAAGTGTGGACGCGAACACTCCATATGTCGAAGCGACAGCAAGTCTCCAGGTCTGAATTGATACAAGTCAGTAAATCTTATCAGTTCAACACTTTAGACTCGCTAGACTTGCTTCTGATGTCTCTGTATACCTTTGTAAGTTTGTAATAACTTTTATCGGTGCCCCAAGTACCAGAGGCGTCATGTCACATGCGATGGAAGTCATCCGTAGTGCCATGCAACGGGAAATGCATGACCTAATTCTCCGCGCTCGCTGCTAAGATTCACTAAGGCAAGGACAGAAGTTGGGGAAGTTAGGTACAGGTTACGTGGGGGGTTTCCGCGCTTCTTCCCGAGATTCAGACTCTCCTTGATTCCGGGGAATCATCTTCGGCAAATCAGGAAGTTTTAACCATTTCGGTTCATACCCGATGCGACGAATCCTCCATTTTGCTTGCTCGCGCCCATTCCGAACGGCTACCAGGCATGACATCAGCGGTTCGGCTGGCTTTCCTGTTTGAAATCGTCTGATCAAGATGGCCAGCCTACCATCTCGGCATAGATGTGCCCAGGTCTTGGCTGACGGGCCAAGAGTCGCCGGCCACAGCCAACTGCGAGGATCTTCAGTCGGACTTCCGCTTTGCTAATCTATGTGCTTCCTGGTAGAAATCTTATTTGTGGCTTGATTATCATCGCTGCCCCATCTCGTCGTGCCGAGACAGGTCCAAAATGCCTCAATTTGTGCGACTGGATGAGCTTCGTCGAAGAGTCTTACCTGCCCCATATGTTGGAATCGTGGAAGTTTTTGTGGAGTATGTCGCGGTCCTTGAAGTTCTCTGACATCCAAATGTCCATGACCATTGCATGTACGTTTGAATGGTGGGAATGGCTTATAAAATGTCACTCCATCCTGGTCTTTGTTCCTCGATTTGTGCCTCCTCTCCTTTGGGATCAAATACAAACAGTCCCGATCTTTGAGCTCTTCTTGCAACGAAGTGCAGTGTTGTAGGACTTGAGACGTTCTGTTTCGTTTTGAACACGCACCATCTTCAGGTTTCCTTAAGATTCTTCTGTATCGCGGCAAGTCTGTCAGATTAGCCACTCGGTAGAGTGGAGGTATCACACCATGTCGTCCGTCCCTTCATTCGCCGGCATGTCCGGCAAGAACCTGATGTGGTTCATCACAATATGTGCAACCATGGTATTCTTACTCTTCGGTTACGACCGTATGTACTCAGGCCTGGCACCTTTCCGGTGAAATACGCATCAATTCGATGAAGGCTGACTCAACGGGCTTTTCCAGACCAGAGGGTGATGAGCAGTATCATTGACTCTGACCCTTTCAACAATGTCTTTACGGCCACAAAAGGAAACTCAACCATGCAAGGTGTTGTCACCGCCATCTACGAGCTGGGTGAGTACATTCAGATTGACAGAGTCATAACGGTATTCGATTAATCGATGATTTCAGGTTGTCTTGCTGGCGCTTTGTTTATTCTAGCATGCGGTGACTGGCTTGGTCGACGCTGGTTCATCATGCTCGGGGCCACAGTCGTGATTCTCGGAGTCATTCTCCAGGTCACAGCTTACCCCGGTCACGTCCCGCTGGCTCAAAATTGTATTGGACGAGTCATCACCGGCATCGGCAACGGCATGAACACGTCTATCATACCTACGTACCAGGCCGAATGTTCTCGGACGTCCAACCGGGGTCTCCTGATTTGTGTCGAGGGCGGTACGGTCGCGATCGGCACGTTGATCTCCTACTGGGTGGATTTCGTGCCTCGTACGGAACCCCTGATCTCACCTGGAGGTTTCCGATTGCTTTCCAATGTATTTTTGGTCTGTTAATCAACACTGGCTTGTGGTTTCTTCCCGAGTCCCCTCGCTGGCTCTTTGCTCGGGAGCGGTACGAGGAAGGCGAACGTGTGATCGCTGCATTGATGGGCCGGGAGATCGCTGATCACGACGTCCAGTTGCAGAAGACGTTGATCCTGGATTCACTCCGAGCGTTCGTTTTTCTCTTCCCTGTGTCGTTGACCCTGGTGGCTAATGGTCGCAGTTCTGGCCAAGCTGGTAAATCCACTCCCATGTCAGCCGTACTTACTAGTGGCAAAACGCAGCATTGTCGCCGCATGCTTCTCGGAGCATCCTCCCAGTTTTTTCAACAGATCGGTGGCTGTAACTTTAAGTGGTAGGTGGGTACGGATTACGATGGTACGAAGCACACAAGACTTTATATTCGGACCAGAATCCATTGTTTTCGTGCGGCAGTGGTTGTGTTCTTTTTGTTCTTGCTTGCGGGAGACACGCTGAGGGCCTTAGTAATGTTGTGGGAAAGGCGGCTGACCTCATGGCCTTTCGACGGAATGAGATCTGTCGCGCAGCGATCAAGTAGTTCCATACGTTCTAAGGGTCTGCTTTCCTCTCTTCTCGGACTTTTTCGCCTTACAGTCCACGATTATGGCAATGTTCTTGAGACTTGACGAATATACAATCTTCCTTGGGCTTCCCGTCTCATGCGGGGTGGGAGTCCTTTGGCTTGGTCAATCAGAAAATTCAACGATACGACTGTGGATTTTGACTCTGCCAACCCACGACTACAATGTCCGGCGGAACTTAGGTTATTCTGACCTCAAGAGCTTCCGTGGAAGGCAGATCACGTTCAAGACTAGGCAGCCTTTATTCTTGGAAACAATAAGCGTGGCTGAATCGTTATCTAATCTGCCGGGTCGCAAGCTTGCTCTATACTCTCATTAACTCGGCGCGAAACTACGATGAAAGGCTTTATGGTTCAAGCACACGAGTCAACTGAAGATGCAGGAGTTCCCTCTCCTTCAACTGGATCTCAAGTTGGTTCGACGATGATATTCAGACCACGGAGCAAGTTCTTAGCAATAACTGTCCGGATTCAGTTCCTGTATCCGTTGACTGGTTGACTCGTGTTATTATCCGCCTGAACTTTCACTGATGCTTCGCATTATGCAGGTATATCAGCTACAAGCAGGAAAATGTTGCATATATCCCTCTCATCTCTGAGCCATAGCAGGCTTGTGTTCGAACTACATCACTGAATGAGATCATACTGTCTGAAAGAGATGCCTGTCGAAAGAAGAACGTAGACTAACAGTCCCCTGTGGAATTCGGACCCTGTAACAGGTAATTCTAGGTTGTATCTGCAGAACACTTCAAGCTTCTCTTTGGAGAGCACTAAGCTTGTTTTGGTGGGAGCGCATTTAAAGCAATAATAAGAAGTCTTTGATGTCGAGGACGAAGGATGATCAAAGAGACTATTTTCGAGTGATGGAAAGATGCATTGTCCATAATCAGCACGGACTTTGGTTGCGGCCACCTTCCACAATGCTGTAGAAGTCGTTTTATGAAGTCCTCAAAAACGGCGGCATCGGTTGATCCTTGAAAGTGAAGGATACCATCTTACATATAGGCAGGTAATATCTGATAGTGCTGATCCCGGTGGAATCGGGAGATCTGAGTAGGAGTCACACCCGATGGAGACCAAGCTCTTCTTCGAGATCCTATCCGCTTATCACGGCCAGATTCGTCAACAAAGACCAGTTGATATGACTGAAAGTCAGACAGATTATTGAGGTAGATATCTCGCAGCTCTGCGTTACGTTCTTTCGCTCTCAGTCGGACAATATTCTTGACCAACCTCTGCTAATAAAAGCCTTCCTGATACTCGAGGTCGTTACCCAAATTTCGAACTCATTCGACAAGTACACCGCCATCTTGTCAAGGTATAATCCTGGCTTCTCATGTAAGTGTTCCCAGAGAACCTGTAGCATATGAGCGGAATGCTTTTCCATTGACCGACGCGGTTCTCAGGGGCTCGGGATGTCCCAAATAATTTAAGGTTTCGACGGATACTGGTCACGGAGCGTTCACTGCATTGAGCTACCCTAGCAATTTCGGTGTTCGTTAGTGGTTCTTTACTAAGGATCATGTCACGGGCAATTTCGACTTGCAACAGAGACGATCTTAGGGCCATTCTGATGGTGAGAAAGCCTGGAAACCCCCTTGAGACAGACATTTTGCAAGCTGTCCGGTTTTCATGGAATGTGCCAGGCACCTCCCGTGATTGATCAAATGAATGAAAATGCCATGTAATTGCTGAGCCATGATTGGTTCTGTCGGCGTCGCGCTCCTCCCGCAGATCGTCCAGCGCCTAGGCTACTCCCCCGTCAAAACAAACCTGTACACCGTCGCCCCAAACGTCACCGGCGCCGTCATGCTCCTCCTGTTGGCCTTCTGCTCCGACGCCGCACGCCTCCGCTCCCCATTCATCGTCCTCGGGTTTTTGTTAACATTCACTGGCTTCATCATCTACGCCTCCATCAACGACGTCCAGGCGCAGATCCGCTTTGCCTACTTTGCCACCTTCATGATGACCTGGGGCACGTCCGCGCCCTCCGTCCTGCTGAGCACCTGGTAGAACAACAACGTCGCGGATGAGAGCTGCCGCGTGTTGCTGACGAGTATAGGGGTGCCGTTGGCGAATCTCATGGGTCTGGTGAGTAGCAATGTGTTCCGGGTGCGGGATAAGCCCAAGTACATGCCTGCCCTAGATTCTCCTCGCTTGCTCGCTCGCGCGGCTCATCTCTCTCGCCGGATTCTACCTTGATCAATTCTCCTCGATTCGATTTGATCTACCTTAATCATCTCTCCTCGCTCGCGCGGCTCATCTCTCTTGATTCGATTTGATCTACCTGCCTGCCCCTGAGAACGCGGTCAAATGCGCCTCTCCTGTTTTGATCGACAGCTCACATTCGAAGCCTGCGCGTTGATCGCCGCCAATCAACGGCCCCGCACCTCTGAGATTCGGCCGCTTACATCCAGCCCGAACCATTTGCTGACGACGACCCTTCGGGCAGGGCGGTCACCTGACCAGATTAGGGCTTCCCCTCCCGTCAGGCTGCCTCCCTGCGCTGGGTCAGGCTACTCGTGGACTTCGCTCCAGCATCACATACTATCTCATACTTTGATTACATACTATCTCATACTTTCCACTGGGGCCCAGCTGTCCCGAAAGGTGATATCATGGCCCAGTGGCCGGTGACGATTCATCTATTGCTGATCATTCCTTTCGTTTCATGGTGCACTGTACGGATGTCATCAAATTCACTCAGGCTCACCCTGGTAAATCAGCCAAGGCACCCTGGGTCGAGGCCTTTGCTCAGCAGGCTCGAGCCCTGGTCACGAAACTGCTGGATAGCCGATTCCATGACGCAGTCGCCGGTGATTTCGGCAGGCAGACCAGGGCACCCGGCACAAATGGCGCGGAGGCAGGCGAGCACGGCTCGGCCACCTCTTCTTCCATGACTCCCGGGGCCCGGGGGGTATTTGGCTGGGCCAAGCAGGTGCCGAGCAACCCACCCTCCCCTTCTGACCATCACCTTCCTCCCTCCTCCTCCTCCTCCTCCCCCCCCGGCTGCACGCCCCCGCAATGACGAGATCGCATCCGGATCCGGTGGCGCGGGCATGGAAACGGCCCGGGAGCCAGCCCTTACAAGTGAACTGCCATTACGGCTATCGTGGGCGAAATCCAGGAGATTCTCCGCCGCAGTAGCCTGCCTGGCCCGACCAGCGTGCAGGTGGCGGGGGCCTAGGTCCTTCGTAGCGGCGACCTTGACGTGTATACCCATTCCGCGTCAGATCGTGAGCGCCTCCTCTGGAATGAAGAGGCATGGCTCCGGGAACTCCCTAAGGGCGAGCATGCCTACATCACGAATCACCAGTATGCTGTCCTTGTCCACCACGTCCCTATCACTTACCGCCCCTCCCTGAGCGCGGTGGAAGCACTCCAGGAGAAGATCTTGCACTGCAACCCGGCGCTCCGCGGCCCCATATTGCATGTGGGCTGGTGCAGACATGATGCTGCGGCACGACAGAGCAAGCAGAAATCTTCCCTGGTGGTTTCCTTCCGAGATACGCAGTCGGCAAACCATGCCATCCAGCACCGAATCTTCCTGGATGGCACCCCGCTGCGCACGGAACTATTTGACCCGCTCTGCCGGCTCCTACAGTGTACCCGATGCCTAAATTATTGACACGCCCAGCCCGTTTGCGCAGCTGAAAGAGTTACATGTCTGTATTGTGCTAACGCCCACGACAAGAAGTTCTGCAAGGTCAAAGGGGTCCCTTCCCAACACCGCTGCGCCATCTGCCATGGCCCACACCAGGCCGACAGCAAGCAGTGCCCCGTACTCCAACACGAACACCGAATATCCCAAGACCGGCTACGAAACCGACCCCGATTCTTCGCTGCCAGCATGCCCAAGCCTGCCGACACGGCCCCGAACGCCAGACCGGCCCAGCCACCTGCGCCACCGCACGGCGCAGCTGGCACGGGGCCCTCCGAGCCTGAAGGGGCCAAAACGATCGGCAAGCCATTACCGGATCCAGAAAGCACGCGTCAACTGGTCGGCCAATCTTCACCATCGCCAGTCGACGCGTCCAAAACAACATGGCCTCCCGCAAAGGCCACCACCCACCCGATAATTGATGTTAGCCGCCATCCATCTCTACAGCTTCAGCCCACCCATTCCATGCAAACGCGCTCACGGAGCACCTCACCAAGGCAGCCTCAGAGAGCAATCACCGCACCAGAGTCTGAACCTGCACCCGCAGCGGAGGAACCAGCACCTCCGCCGCTGCCTACCTGGGATACCAATTTCTATATACCGGCGCCAACACCACCGCGGTCAGTGGACACTGGCACCAACACCCCTGAACGAGCAGCTGATTCGGCCTCCCCGCCCCCATCACTGCTCTCGAACCCGGCCCGACGCGTCCCCGGACTCTCCTCCCGAATATCCAACACATCGAGCCTCTCAGTCATCTCCCGCACGCCCACCCTCCCGAGTGATCTCACCTGGGAGGTCCCTGAGCTGCCGGGGCCCCCGAAGCGCAAGCGTGGCCGTAGCCGGGGCCGTGGCCGCCATCCTGCCACGAGCAGCCCGGACCCGCTTGTCACCCCAGTCACCGCGCCAAAACGTCGGAAGATATCCACCAAGACATATGACACCGAAGACGACAGCACTACTCAGGCCTCTGCACCGCTAGGCCTGCCCACACCACTCACTGGCCCGAGCCTGCCCACCAAGCCGGCTCGGACACATGAAACACCAAGCCGAGAAGGCCCCATCGAGCCCCTTCCACCACGGCCCCCGGTGTCGGCGTCGGTCACACGCACCAGCATCTCTAGCACATCTAGGATTTCCAATACATCCAATATATCAAACACATCCATTTCAGCACCCAGTTCAGCGTCCACCTCAGCGAGCGGCGTCTCCCTCCCCCCATTCGACCCCGAAACATTGACCCCTTCGGCATACCGGACCGCGCCCTTCCCGTTAACGTCTGACCCCGACCCGCCCCTGAACTCAGAGGAAGCTGAATACGATGGGCACTTCGCGTACAAGAAGACTGAAACGGGAAGCGCTTGGGGCGGCTCGAGCGCGTGTGAGAGCAGTGTTTGCGCAGAGGGCTGCTGGCACATGGCCCCCAGTGGCTACGGCTGGTAGCCCTTCTCCGCCCCCAAGGACCCTCGTACCCGAACCACACAAAGCCGAAACCACCTCAGATTCACGAGCTGACCGAACCATTCGGATCCTGCAGTTCAACGTGCAGAATTCACTGGATATCGGCATGGCACCCCTCCTTCGGGACCCTCGGCTCCGGGACTACGCTGTCGTCGCGGTCCAGGAGCCCTGGGTCAACACCCACGGGGACGCTCCCCTGACGCACTTCCCCCGGGAGGCTGCCGACCACTTCCATAACGTATGGCCAGCCGGGGGACAGGCAACAGGCCTGGGGGCCCCCCGCGTCTGCACGTACATCCAGAAGGCTCTACGCTGGCAAGCCATCTTCATTTCAGCTCATGTCATCTCCACTGCTATCCAGCCAGCGCTAGGCAAGCCATGGATCGTGGTCCATAATGTCTATAACCCGCCGCAGACGACGGCGAATGAAGGAGTGATGGACCTCGTCCCGGCCCTAGAGGCCGCGGATCGGCAACAGCAGGCCTCTGGCGAACCCACGGAGCATGTGGTAGTTGGTGATTTCAATATCCATGACAGCCTCTGGGCTGGCGAGACGCGCCGGCTTCCTCAGGCCCAGCACAATGGCCCCCGCGCGGAAGCGCTGAAGCAGGTTATTGAGCAGCGCCCACTGGAGCTGATCACCCCAGCAGGCCTCATCACCCGGCCCACCCCCATCTCTGCGCGCGGCCCCGACCAGCTTGAGCTGGGAGACGCTGGCCGGGGACCCTCTCTGTGGAGGAGAGGGCCGCTGGTTCAACAATTGACCTGGCCTTTGTCTCCTGGGGCCTTGCAGATCACGTCACCCACGTCCAGGAAGCTGATGTGGATGGTGATTCAGACCACCTCCCGATTGAGACTGAACTAGATGCCACCTTCGAACCCGAACCCCCAAGGAGACGCCGCAACTGGGTTGCCATGGACCCCCAGCAGCTGGCCACGGCCCTCACCACGCGCCTCCCCCTGTCACTTCCCACCGAAGCAACCCAGGGGGAGGTTGACCAGTTTGTGGGTGAGCTGGTTAGCGCGCTCACTGCCGCGATCGACGCTGTGGTGCCGTGGCTTCGCCCATCTAAGCACTCCCGCCCCGGCTTCACCCCGGAAAGCCGTGACTTACTCCGGAATAAAAAGCGTATCCAGCGGGCCATCTCTGCCTACCGAGGCAAGCACAGGTGCGAGGCCCCCCTGCCCCTGCGGGTACGGCTAGCTCGGGTCACCCGGGCATGCAAGCGGGCTGTGCAGCAGTGCCGACGCAACACCTTTCGGCAGCAGATCACTGATATCGCTGACATGCACGGTGTCTGGCGTGCTGTCCGCTGGACGAAGAACCGGGGTCCCTACCAGGCCTACACACCGCCCCTCCGAGGCCCTGCCGGCTCGGTGGCGTATGGGGCCCGAGAGAAGGCCGACCTCCTTGCCCGCCAGTTCTTCCCACCACCCCCTCCGGCCAATCTGGATGACCTCCGGGGATACGACTAACCTGAGCCAATCAGTGTGCCAGAATTCCAGGAGCATGAGGTCCTCAGCACCCTCTGCTCTGTCAAACCTGACAAGGCCCCCGGCCCAGATGGAATTACCAACCGGGTGCTGCAGGCTGTTAGTCACGTGCTTGTTCCAGGCCTAACGGGTCTGTACAACCATTGTGTCCGGCTCGGCTACTGCCCAGAGCACTTCCGGGATGCTGCCAACGTCGCCCTTCCGCAAGCCTGGCAAGTCAGACTACTCAGTGCCGAAGGCTTACCGACCCATTGCACTGCTCAACACCCTGAGCAAGCTGCTTGAAGCTCTAATTGCCTCCCGGTTAAGCTATCTGGCTGAGATCCATGGATTGCTTCCAGAGAACCATTTCGGGGGCCGTAAAGGCCAGGGTACAGAGAATGCCCTCCATGCAGCCCTGGAAGCCATTCACTCCGGCTGGAAGAACGGCAAGGTGGTCTCGGCCCTTCTGCTTGATATCTCTGGGGCCTTCGATAACGTCTCTCATGACCGGCTTCTACACAACCTCCGCGCGCGTCAGATCCCGCAGGCCTACATCACCTGGCTTGGCAGCTTCCTCCGAGAGCGGTTCACCTCATTGGTGCTGCCTGAGTACACCATGCCAACCCACAGGGTGGAAACTGGCATCCCGCAGGGCTCCCCCCTCTCAGCGACCCTCTACATCTTCTACAACGCAGATCTAATGGGGCGGGGGGCCCCAGAATGGGCCACGGATAATATTGGATACATCGACGACACGACGATGCTGGCTACTGGCGACAGTGAGAATGACAACTGTCAAAGACTGCGGGAGCATTACCGGCGGGGGTGTCTTCGCTGGGCTGCCACCCATGCCTCCCGATTTGAACCGTCTAAGTTCCAGCTCATTCACTTCCACCCCCCGGGCCGGGTGAATCGCTGGACCTTGGGGATGGGCAGATCGTCGAGGCCAGCGCGACGGCGCGGCTTCTCGGGGTCATTCTTGATCAACACCTTACCTTTGAGGCCCACCTTAAGCACGTCGACGCTGCGGCTACCCGGCGCCTCCAGGCTATCAGCGCACTGGGCGGCTCCAAATGGGGCCTGCGGCTCCGGGAACTTCGGCATGTCTACATGGCCTGCATCACCCCAATTATGCTATATGCTGCCTCGGTATGGTATGCGCCGCCAGTCCGGGGCCGAAGACGCTTCCATAGCCAACAGACAAAGGTGTTGAATCGGATCCAGCGTCGGGCTGGGAAGGTGATCGCGGGGGCCTTCCGAACGGTTAGCGGGGCCGCGTTCAACGCCGAACTTCACCTCACCCCGATGCCACTACTTCTCCGACAGCGCCGTATCCAGACTCTCATCCGAATCGCTACCACACCGGCCTATCGAATGCATATTCTTGATCGTCACCGACATCACCGAAACCCACTGTTGCACTCACCGCTGGAAGCTATAGAAGAAGAAGTTGAATTGGCAACTGGTATTGACCCTAGGGAGATGGAGACACGCTTACCATGGGCAGTACCCCCCTGGTGGGAGCCGCCAGAGGTGGTGATTGAACCAACAAAGGAGCGGTCAATGATTCACCATGATGACATTCACTGCATTGCCTACCCTGAGGCCATTCGGATCTACACCGATGGCTCTGGCATCCGCGGGCAGATAGGCACCGCCGCAGTATGCCTGGACCACCCCCCATCTGCCGTCAACGTTACCTGGGGACGGATCTCGAGCAAACAGTGCCGGTGCTGGCCCTGCGGCTTCTCAAGCGAGACCTGGTGCCACGTGACGCTTGGCGGTCACCGCCTAACCGCGGCTCTCGGAATTGGGCCGAGATATATTCCGATAATCAGGGTGCACTGCGCACGCTACTCACCCCGAAGCAGGCCCCCGGGCAGTACCTGGTCCGGGAGCTAGTGGACCTGCTTGATCGGCTGGATCCAGTGCTTGACGTCTCCTTCCATTGGCTGGCGGCACACCGCGGGGTCGCTGGCAACGAGCTCACGGACCGCAAGGCGAAGGAGGCAGCAGGCTGGCACCCAGGCAACAAGAGGGGCGGGCTGGCGCCAGTCATGATGCCAGATCACCCTACACGCGGGCCACTAGACGCCTGGATCCGGCAGCATACTAAGGAGCAATGGGAGGAGGCCTGGCGGCAGTCTGAGCATGGCGGACACCTCCGGGACCTCCTCCCTGACGTTACCAAACGCTCGATCTCCTTATACGATGATCTTACCCCGGTGGAGCGGAGCGTGGTGGCGCAGATGCGCACTGGGAAGATTGGGCTGAACCACTATCTTACAACCATTAACTGGGCCGAGGACCCTCTCTGCCCGTGTAGGCAGGCCCCGGAGACAATTCACCATGTGCTTTTCGGCTGCACCCGATACGATGACCTCCGGCAGTTGACGTGGACCGGCGAGGAAGGGGCCCCCCGAAACCTGACAGAGGCCTTGACGGAGAAACAATACGTTCGGCGGACCGCGCGGCTCATGCTGAGCACCGGCCGGCTGACGTATCTGGCAGAAGCCACCCAGCCGGCATGGCTCGAGCCGAGCGCCCCCAGCAGCGCCAGGCTATTGACAGGCCCAGCAGGCGATGGCTGACAGACCGTTATCACATATTATCGCATACTGCTAGTCACTCCCGCCCGGTACGGCGCCGTTACCTTCGGCCCCGACCTGCGCAGCCTGCGCGGCATCGGGATGCCGGACCAGGACTCCTGGGCCGGCCCCGTTCGGTGATGACGCCTCCGGAACCCTCGCAGGCCTGGGAATCTGCGACATCCGAATGGGTTGGCGGCTATCTAGAAGGGAATGGGCTTGTACTAGCATCTAGGCAGGCTGCAGGCGTGAGGGCATACGTGGGGAGGCAAGGGAGCTGGTGATTTCGGCCCCGGCCGAGATGGACTAACGAGTCAGGGTAGCGGCACTCATTGATTTCGGCCCCGGCCGAAACAGGTTCACAAGGGGGTCACCTATGAGGGAATCTACGAGGGAATATACGAGGGAATCTATAGGGGTTCAGCCTAGCCTAGGTGCTGAAGATACGTATGTACGCTGGCGGCGCCAGCCTGCAAAGGCGGCTGCTAGTTAGTTAGTTAGTCGCTGCTCACTAGGAGCCTCCGGCATGGCCCAGCCCGGCGCCGCAACGGAGTAAGGAATCAATCAATCAATCAATCAATCAATCAATCAATCAATCAATCAATCAATCAATCAATCAATCATGCCTGCGCTAGTGACTGTGGCGGCCTTTGGCGCCACGGGGGCGTGCTTGGCTGCGCTACTGGCTTGCTATATGTGGGTCGACAATAAGAGGCGGGATCGGAGGGATGGGGTACGTTTGCGGGCACAAGAGGTGCCGACAGAGATGTTGAGGGATGGTCTGAAGGCGAGGGAGTTTCACTGGTTTTTGTAATTCTTCTTAGCTATGAGATATGATGATGATATTACCCTTTTGCAGATGTCAAAAATGCGTTGGATATGACCCCCACTTGTATTGCAATGCAACATTCGCGTAGACGCTGTCAGATACAAATCTGCTCCTGGACGGGCATGTTACCCCGGATCTTCAAGCTCAGATTCTCTTACGGCAGTAGCGTGGGGTATAAGACATAAGGGTAAGAATAACATGACGATGTCACCCAAGACGTCCTGGACGTCTTGCTATCATGTTGGATGCTCATCAAAGACATGACGCAACCAATGGATGGATGCCCTTATGTAAGAAATATCTCTGTAGATTTCTTACTGCTATCGGAAATTGGCGGGACATGGAATCCCTGCAATTCTAATCAGCGAAAATGAACATCTTCCCATGCGGGGTTCGACTGATTTCTCATAGACTCCAATTGTTGGCAGCCCATAGAAGAGGCAGATTGAGGCACTATTTCTGGCCGGTGTTCCTGCATTATCTAGGTATTTGCGAAAGTCACAATTCCGCTTCTAGGGATTTCTTCCTACACAAGAAGCAACAGATAAATGAAACAATGTCGAATATTGACAATAATAGAAGGATAAAAATAGACAGCACTAACCTTATCTGATCTAGTCTTTTGATTGCTAAGTCAGCTGAATCAGGCATATCTGTCACTATACTTCCTATCAGCTATGGCTTAAGATTGATACGCGGGACAATGAAAGACAGAAAGATCGCCTTAGCCAAAACATCCTTTGTGACAGTTCGCTCGCGGAACGGATGTACGACTTGCAAGTGCGATTCCTAGGATGACCCCCATCGTTCAGCCGACACTGACCTTCCTAGAATCCGTAAAATCAAATGCGGAGAGGAAATGCCCAACTGTATTCAATGCACCAGCACAGGACGCAAGTGTGAATACACTAGCCAAGCTCCATCTCGTCATGCCTCAACATCAGCATCTAGCGTGGTCCCGGTCCTGGACCGGCCGCTTTCGGTCTCACCTAGTAGTGTATGGCTAGAGCGACGGGCCTTCGCCCATTATTCCCAATACGCTGCGTCATTCATTGCTGGGGGGATGGACCTCGACTTTTGGGTTGGTGTTGTCACCCAGGTATGTCGGACTGAGCCTGCGGTGTGGGACGCGATCAACGCCATCAGTGCCCTCTTTGAGAATCTAGATCCCTGCTTCGACCCCGTCTGGCTCGGGCAAAACGACAACAGATCTCAGGGATTGCGTCCTAGCCACAGTGATGCCTTATGCTGGTACTTGCGCTCGTTAGCTACTATGCGCAGGCAAATTAACTGGGGGAGTGTTGACATCGACGTAGCATTGATTAGCTGCATCTTGTTTATCTGCATAGAAAGGGCGCAGGGGCGGGTAGAAGAGGCGCTACAACTGTACCGGCAGGGTGTAAGCCTCATCTTCGAGCTCCGGGCACGCGGTACTAGGAGGGGTTCTTGCACGGATTTCGCTCTTTTACAAGACACCATCCTCCCTATTTTCCTACGACTGGGCACAACCGCGCAGTGTATTTCAGATGTCCCTGTCAGTGGCTTACTTAACGAAATTCAGGGTCGCACTGAAAATACATTCTCCTCCCTTAGCTCAGCCCGTCTCACAATGGTCGCTATCGCTGCAGAGAGCATGATCTTCCAGCGCACTGTTCAGGAGTATTTTGCAGCTGAGGGCCATGGATGCACTGTTCCTCCAGTGTTTAAGAGCAAACAGGAAGATCTCCAGAAATGACTGGCAAAGTGGCATCACGCCTACACTAACTTGGTGAATTCGTCTGACCCATCAGAACTTCCCATTAGTGTGACCTCTCTCTTGCTTTCCTTCCACGCTGCCATATTAATTATTACCGCGGTTTCCACCGAGCATCTGGAGACCGCATACGATGCCCTTTTACCCCAATTCCAGCTCATGGTTGAACAGTCCGCTGTACATCTTGAAGCTTCAGCTGGCCCGAATGGTAGGCAGCCGCCATTCACTTTTGAGATGGGTCCTGGTCTCTCATTGTTGATGACTGCTATTAAGTGCTGTGACCCATGGCTGCGCAGAAGGGCTGTGGAATTATTAAGAAAGGCACCTCCAGTGCAAGCGCTGTATAAGTGTCCACCGGGTGCAACATTGGCCGAAGCTTTTATAAAATTTAAGGAATCAGGGACTATATTTGATGGCTCTAGCCCTGGATGTGCAGCTTCTTATGGCAGATGGAGTCATTGGATGTATATATTTCCAGCAAGCGGAAGAAGTGAGATCAAACCTACAATCCCTATTACGGAGGAATCTTGAATCTATGGTTATAGTATTTTCCAGCCGCGAGACAGCTCCTGGCTATTAGGCGATCCAGACATCTCCAAGTGGAATTGGAGGCCTGATCAGATCTACTTGAAGTTTTCACGGAATCAATTTGATGAGAATACAAATACGTGGCGAATGGTCTATGATAATGTCCCGATTGACTATTGATATGTCTCTATGATTGGCGCGTCAATTTTGCTCCACCGCTTTCACTATAGTTCATGACATGCGAACACCATAGTAGCAATCATCTCGCCAAATGCATCAGATTAGCTGTCCAGCAGGTCTGTCCTCACATATGACACGCCCTCTCAACCGACTCATCAAGGATCCCTCGATATTTTCCATCGGGCCTGCCCAGCCAGCATTTCTATATTCTTCAGCCGCAGACTCCACATATACTACTTCTGCTCGTACGTCATGTCCTTTTCAGTCTGGTCATCGCGGAAGCCGTTCGTCGAGATATAATGGATAGAGTAGCCGATCAGCACTGAAATAACGTAACCGACAATAACAAGAAGGATGACGGCTTCTTTGAAAAGTCCCACTATTTCAACTGCATTATTAGCATCTTGAATAGCGCAGATACAGGAGCATTTACTTACCTGCTGAATCAATTACTATTTCTACCATAAGGTCCTAACAGAATGAGGTTTGCAGGAGGAAAACCCCCTTATATCTCTTCCCCCTCCTGCCATCCTATCAACCACAGTAGCAATATGCGTGTGTAAGCGCTAAGCTAATCGCGAGCAGTCTGTTTGATATCCCTGTCTTTGCTCTATTTTTGGTCCTATACAAGCTACGGCACGATTGAGTATAGCTCTGATGTCATAACCGAACAGGCCAATCAAATGGAGGGATTTGATTATGTTATTTCACTTTCCTAGACGGGAAATTATGCTGTTCAAGAGGCTTTGTGCTGGTGTCCTAAACGTAGGGCAAAGATCTGAATAATCCCTTGGAAGATTGGCCTTATACAGCTGGATGCAATACCGGTGCAAAAGTTTATACTCTTGAATACTTTCAGGTACCCTCAAATGAAACACGCTAATCCACTTTCGTAAAAGGCAAAAGCCAATGATATGTGCTGTGCCCAACAGCCTCACTCTTTGAACCCCTCTTCTCACGTGAAATATACTTGAGATCTGATTCGACGAGTACACTTCAGCGTCTCCTTTCCTTTCATGCGAAAGACGACGAATACACCATCACGGAGTGATATCCAAACCACCGACGTTAACCATCATCCTTCAAGTCCACTATGTCCAATCCAGACCAGTATACTGTTGGTTGGATATGTGCCTTGGAGACGGAATATGTCGCTGCCCGCGCTTTTCTCGATAAGAGGCATGGCCTACCGGAAAGTCTTTCGCCAAATGATAATAATCATTACACACTAGGAGAAATTGGGGGCCATCAGGTTGTTATTGCGGTTCTACCAGATGGAGAATACGGGACATCATCCGCAGCTAGGGTGGCTAGGGATATGGTGCACAGCTTTCCAAACATCCGATTTGGGCTAATGGTTGGGATTGGTGGGGGCGTTCCAACAAAACGGGACATACGCCTTGGCGACGTTGTCGTGAGCTCATCTCGAGATGGACGTGGTGGTTTGCTTCAGTATGACTTTGGTAAGGAGCTGCAAGGGCAAGGATTCCGTCAAACAGGGTTCTTGAACCAGCCGCCGCCGATCCTGCGGGCGGCCGTAGCTGGGCTCCAAGCGCAGTATGAGGGGGAGGGCCATCGATTGAAGGAGAGCATACAAACTTTGCTTGAAGGCAATAAGAGACTGAAGCGAAAATACACACAACCTCCTTCCGAAACTGACAGGCTTTATGAAAGCCAGTTTACCCACACTCCAGGCAGTGAGGCAAGCTGTGCCGAGCTCTGTGATAACTCAAAGTTGATTATTCGACCGGAGCGAACTGAGGATGAGGATGATCCTGCTATTCATTACGGCTTGATAGCATCTGGGAATAAAGTGATTAAAGACGCAATATTCCGCGACAAGCTAGCGGCAGAGGAAGATGTTTTATGCTTTGAAATGGAAGCAGCTGGACTGATGAACCATTTCCCTTGTTTGGTCATTCGTGGTGTTTGTGACTATGCTGACTCGCACAAAAGCAAGGAATGGCAAGGCTATGCTGCAATGGTGGCCGCAGCATATGCAAAAGACCTTCTCTATCAAATTGTCCCTCAGAGGGTAAACGCCGAGCGAAAGGCTTGTGAGGTTCTTGACGGTTCGCTCTAGCTACTCTCAATCGTCCTTATTATGTCTAACACTTGTTATCTGGCAGGGATCCAAAACCAACTGGACAATGTATCCAAGAATGTTGATCACATTCATTCAATTACTAGCGCATCGGCTAGGGAAATCAATGCTATGGCACAAAGTATCGACCTGAAGGAGTTACCGGTCGCTGGCGGAGCTGAATTTGAAACGTATATGGACCAACATGAAGAAGAATGTCTTCCGGGAACCAGAAAGGAGCTTCTTCTTAGTATTGAAGAATGGGCCGTCTCACCCGAAGGAAAATGTATTTTCTGGCTCAACGGTTTGGCCGGGACTGGCAAGTCCACAATATCACGAACTGTGGCCAAATCCTTTAAAGAGCAAGGGCTATTGGCGGCGAGCTTCTTCTTCAAGAGAGGTGACGGAGATCGCGGCAAAGCAGCTCGATTCTTCACAACTATTACCAAACAGCTATTTACCAAATTCCCAGAAATACGCCCTGCTCTCTTACAGGTAATCAGGGATAATCCAGGAATCTCAGATAAACCACTCAAGGAGCAGTTTAACGAGCTCATTTACCAGCCACTCCACAGCTTGAATCGACCAGAAAACCAGAGCTCACCTCTAGTGATTGTGATTGATGCACTAGATGAATGTGAAAATGACAACGATATCAGAGCCATCCTCGGACTACTGCCGCGTGTTCAGGAGTCAAACTATGCATACTTGCGATTCTTTGTCACCAGTCGACCTGAACTACCTATTCAGTTAGGCTTTCAGACGATTAAAGGTAGCCACCAAGATTTAATTCTTCATCAGATTCCCGAGCCAATAATAGAACACGACATATCCTTGTTCCTCGAACACAAGCTGGCTCAAATTAGGAAGGAGCGTATTCTTTCTACGGGCTGGCCTGGAAAGCCTAATATCCAAGCTTTGCTTACCATGTCGGTGCCACTATTTATTTTTGCTGCCACCATCTGCCGTGTGTTTGAGGATCATAATTTGGACCCAGAGCAGTGTCTCACTGAGATCCTCAAGTATCAAAGCCAAGAGTCTAAGCTGGATGGAACATACCTTCCAGTACTGGACCGCCTTGTTTCTAAATATAGTGGGACAAGACGAGAGCAATTAATTCAGGACGTTCGACAAGTTGTTGGGATAATTATCCTTCTTGAGAGTCCACTCTCCGTCACAGCCCTCTCAAAGCTCATGGGGATCGCTAAAACATCAATTAACGCCAGGCTAAGTTCGCTGCACTCGGTCTTGCATATACCAAATAATGAGACGCTGCCAGTGAGGCTCTTTCATCAATCATTTCGTGACTTTCTTCTTGACTCCAACACCCGTGAGAAGACTCCATTCTGGGTTAATGAGAATGAAATGAACCAAAAATTAACAGCCTACTGTCTTTCTGTCATGCGTAGTAAGCTGAAGAAGAATATGTGCAATCTTCAAAGCTACGGAACCGAGCGAAGATATATTGACACCCAGTCTGTCAATGACTGTTTGCCACCAGAGCTTCAGTATTCGTGTCGTTATTGGATCCACCATCTAGCACGAAGCAGAGATCCCAAGAGTCATATTAATGATGTTTTGGCATTTCTTGATAATCATTTCCTTCACTGGGTGGAGGTGATGAGCATGCTAGGCATTGTGTCAGAAGTTCTGGGAGGCATTAGTACTTTACAGTTAGTAGTGCAGGTAAGTTGTTATCAGGCCTTCTGATGATCCTCTATACTAAGCGTTACAGGACGATAAAGATAATTTAGGGATATCTAAGTTTCTCCATGATGCACAGCGGTTTATTTTGAGGAATAGTCAGATAGCAGATATTGCTCCGCTGCAGATCTACAGTTCTGGGCTAATCTTTGCGCCAAAGTTAGCAATAATTAGGAGGAGATTTGAAGGAGAGCTGCCTAATTGGATACGCCAATGCCCAAGAATGGAAGAAAGCTGGAGTCCAGATCTACAGACCCTGGAGGGCCATTCACACTCGGTTTGGTCGGTGGCCTTCTCGCCAGATGGTCGACTGCTAGCGTCTGGCTCCGATGATATGACTATCAAGCTCTGGGATCCCAGCACGGGGGCCCTCAAGCAGACCCTGGAAGGCCATTCAGGCTGGGTGCACTCAGTGGCCTTCTCACCAGATGGCCGACTGCTAGCATCTAGCTCCGGTGACAACACCATTAAGCTCTGGGATCCCAGCACCTGCGCCCTTAAGCAGACGCTAGAGGGCCATTCAGGATCAGTTGAGTTGGTGGCATTCTCACCAGATGGCCAACTTCTAGCATCTGGCTCCGATGACAAGTCCATCAAGCTCTGGGACCTCAGGCTCCTCAGCACTGGCGTCCTTAAGCAGACCCTAGAGGCCCATTCAAACTCAGTTGAATTAGTGGTCTTCTCAGTAGATAGCCGACTGCTAGCATCCAGCTCTGGTGACAGGACTATCAAGCTCTGGGACCCCAGCACAGGCGCCCT